CCTTGTCGTTTGCGCCTTGGCGCAAGGCGAAGCCCAAGCGTAGTGTGATATCATCCAATCAACGCCCGTCGAACGCATGGTATCTCCTCTGCAGCAAGTGCATCCTGCTCTTCGTCGGGTTGTGCTTGGGCGTGACCCCCCCCCCTCTCGCCGGCAATTCTATTTCCTGCGCTTAGGTCTGCGCGAAGAAGTTCATCGTTATCGTCGACGACTCCAAGTTCGTGCCCGGTCTCGGCATCTCTGGGTAAGGAGAATGAGACGGTGCAGGGAAATGAGACGCCGAAGGAAGAGGCGGGGCGTCGTGTAGCCTCGATGCCTTGGGGGTGGGGGGGAGAGAAGCGGAACCGATCAAGTTTTCTCATACACGGACCGCGCCAACGTGTGTAGGAGACGAGAGTCACTGGGCCCTAAGAAACGCGAGACACGCCTGCAACTCGTCTTGCTTGCTCGTTGTGTCTTTTGTCGTGTTCCCCGGTCGGGTGTTAAAATCGCGAAAATGCCCAGCGGTCCTATCGCTCTGGGCACTTTCCCATTGATGAGCCATCCTATTTTTGCGTTTTTCACAAAGTTTTGTATTGTTGTGCGGATGCGTGGTTCACGGCTGCTCCTGGCTGAATCACCACTGCGACGTCTCTGTTGTGTCTGCTGAGGTTCGCGGTGTCACGAATTGCCACCTCCCTGCGTCTCGCGCGTCCTTTTGACACCCGGGGATTGCTGGCTTTCGTTGTTCAGGGCGATGCCGGTGGAGGTCACGCCGTTCTGCTGGGAACACACCCTCAACACCATCAAGAACTTGCCCAGCATCAAGGTCAGTGCATTCAATCGAAACTTATGTCGAGAACGACTCAAAAGCTTTGTCGCCGCTATGCAATGAGGCATGCACGCACACATTTTAACTTGTCCGAAGAGGAACACGCCAGGCTGCGAGCGGTGGTGTGTCCTGTGAATGTGCTCGTAGGGAGGACGCCACAACAGTCTGCACTGCTGAGCACAGATTGAGGAACAAACATTTTGAGAACATAATTGCCGCGGAGTATCACGCAGGACCGGGTCGTGTGCCGTGCGCAAGTTTGGGCACGTCCTGGTGGGCGCTCAGAAGCTCGCTTGCGTGCTTCCTTCGGCGGGCAAACGAGTGTTTTGTCATGTGACTTATCTCTCGCCCACTGCTGTTGGTTGGTAACCACGGAATGAACCCTGTTCATATGGACGTTGAAGTGCCATGACTTGACGCTCGACGATTCGATACATAACATGAAAAAGTGAAGTGGGCAGAGGGCCTTGTTCATATTTCAGCGATGTGTGTCCTGCACACGTCTCTAACCTGTACAAGGCGTTAAGTGCACGAATCGCCTTGAGATACAAAGTTTGCGCGCACTTCGCAAATCGTCTGTTAATTCGTCAAATTTATTGTCCCGAATCGTCCTCGAATTGATCGATCCCCCCCCCGATCTCCCCCCCTCCGGTGTTTGCCATCGGGGTTGGGTTTTCGTCGCTTGGCAACGACGTTGTAAAACAAGC